CTTGGCTTATTACTTTAATCTACATCATTAGCGAAGTGAAAATTGCGTTCAAACGAAGAGTTTCACATTATTCAGTACTTGATGTGTTTTTCGTTGCACTTTCACATCATTTAGATTAGCGAACAAGTGACCTATTAGAATGTCTAATTAATTCTTTCATTTCACGTCAAATCGCAATTTTTCTGTTTTTCCATATTAAATTCCTACATACGACACGATTGACTATTCCACAATTAAACAAGTTGTAGTCAAAAGTCCTTTGATATGCATACTAAACTAATTATAAGGTTTATGCAGTTTGTCTATTTTGGAAATCTATTAGAAATGATTAATGACCACAGAGCTTTGAAAAGAAACTATCACAAGCAATTTCTTGTATACATGCGTATGATTTTTTCTAATGATTTTCTCACGGTTTCTTCATTTCTTCCGTTCACGCATATCACACCCATTCTTACTTGATTTTATTTTCATTTTGGCTTCCCCCTTAATTGCTCTCGTCATCACTATGAGCTATCTACAGTGGGTATATTTAGCCGCTAACGAACATTTTTGCATGCGACTCAATCACAGTGCGTGCTAAGCTGTGACATTTTTATACCCTGTGAATACCTTATTTGGAATGTTGTTCGATCTGGATTTTTAGATATGAACCACTACCATCGAATTCGATGCGAAGGAATTTGAATTAAGACGTAAAATTCGGAAATGATTTGAACTTTTGAATGCCTCATTGCCTTTAATTGAATTATCTTCTCTTTTGAAATTGTGAAAATGTCAACAGTTCTTTTCTTTCGTCCTTTTTTTGCATGTACTCTTTTTATACTTTAAACTGTGCAGGTGCAAGGGAGCAAGCCCATTGAGATCTTTTTTAACGACTCAAGTATGCTTTATGTTGACTTAGTAAGATTGTTGTATAACAGCAGGAGATCACCACGGTGGTAATCACTCTTTCCGAAATTATATTAGATTGACGCATAAGTTCGTGATTTTTTCTTGAAAACAGAAAATTTTGTCAAAACGTTACATATCATTTGAAAGTAGATGTGTCACTATACAAGGAACTATACTTGACTTATTCGGTAATTTCAGCTTTGTTGATTCAGAAGTAATTGAAATTGGACATATAAAGGACTAGGAAAAGCTCAACCAACAGCTTAATTTTTTCTCGAATGTAAGAAGCATGAAAATTACCGCCACTGTTACTTTGTGCGGTAATCAGTGCTGAATATGAAAATCTTGACCATTAGTCATGACAGGGCCCTACTGTAGGATTACGGTAGGTAATGCTATAGTGGTAGAAGCCAAAAATTGGTCAAATAGGTTTAATCGCTATGCTGTTTACAACAATGATACTCACATCATAAAATAAGCCCCCACTGTGAATTTAGAGTGACTATACGATGGTAAGGGCAAAATCACCAATCTCTCGTAAGAGGAAAAATTGGGTAGTTTCTACTGTGAATTGGCTTTACCACGAGGAATGGATAGTATTTCTGTAATCAGCATATTAATTAATCCCCTTAGACCTCTTTTCAGGCAAATCAGTAAATGACCCTGCATCGTATATCTACCATAATCCTGCAGTAGACCACATCGTGGTAAATGGCTATATTTTCCTCAAGCAAGCATAGGCAAGTATCCTTTTAGGTAACTTACAACTTCCAGGTTTGTCAATTAAGAAAAATTAATCTGTCGCTTGAGCTCTTTTAGCTTGCTGGAAATACATTTCAATCATCTCTAGTTCAACGAAACCGAGATTGTTGAACAAGCTAGATAGGTACGCTGTTCTTTAAAAGTAATACACGTTGTATAACATTCAAAAGTAGAAATTTTTGAAACTTATACAACGTGCTGCCAAAATTTTCGATTTCTAGAATATTGAGTTTGAAAAAAAGGCACGCTTACCCGACAACCCAACTTTCTCTTTTGATACCAGAATCTTTTTTTCCATTCTGCATTCACAGCAGATGATAACTTAAATCAATACGCAAAGTTGTTTTATATGCATGGCACTGGAAGAAGTCGATTCCTTTTGTTTTTGGATTATTTCCAGGATTAGCTGGCATTTTCTCATTAGTCTTTGTTAATGCGCTGTGTATCTCAACAACATACAACGTGTTTTGCAATAAGCGTAACTCTTGCTGCTTTTCTTAGCCTCGAGCTTTTTAAGATGACATATTTTGGCTGTATAAATCTTAATTTTTCTATTCCTCAATGGAGCAAACCTTGACTAATTTTGAAGCGTTGAACAAAACTATATATTTCTTCTGTAACGTCAATGTACTCCTGTCATTTCTCTTACTGCTTGTTATAGTTTGAGAACTTTTATCACTGATAAAGGAGACAGATTGTCGACACAAAAAATTGAGAAGAAGTTTCGGAACTTAATTGTGTATGGTCTTGTTCTTAATATTCTATATCAGAGTTTTTCGAAATTCTACTCTTGTATGATGTGGAAGTCAAAAAGCTTTAAAAAAACATCATTACCAGTGTACAATCTTTTTGGAACTTTCTATACGTTTGCACAAATGTTGCTCTT